ACGAATTAGTTCCTCTTTTAGTGTAAAAAGAGGTCCAAAAATACAGCACGTATTTTTTGTAAAAAGAGCTGAGCAGTTATTCTGGGAAAAAGTGGTGCTATTTGCAGCATGAAAAGGCATGCTATTTTTACAACTTTTTGAGCATAAAAATAGTCCAAATATTCCCTATGTAAATAGGCCATTTAATCTTGTATATATTTTCTTGCAAAAGAGATAGTTATTTTCAGCTTAAATAGTGATCGCCCGCTCATGCTATGCAGTCATACCATGAGCGGGCGATCACAGCGGGCGATCACTATTTTGTCCGAAAATAGGCACAAGAATAGATACCCTACTTTCCTTGGAAATATTTGAACTCCTCCCACACTCAAAAAAAGTCAAATAGTACACCTTTTCGTGCTGCAAATAGCACTGCTTCTTCCCGGGAGAAGTGTTCAGCTTTTTTTGTGAAAAATATCGTATATATTTTTGGACCTCTTTTTGCACAAAAGAGGAACTAATTCGTCTCGTGAAGGCTCTACTCAATTACCGGCAAACACACAAGTTCTTCATGTGTTGTTAACCCGGGAGTGAAGCGTTGCGTTCACAGGTGGTGAACTCTGCTGTCCGTCTGGGTTCCGAGCAGGCGAGTAGGAGCTAGCGGAGTGGTCTGACGGCGAGAAGTTCGACGAGGCGGAGATGAGATGGCAGATTACACGCTTTGGGAGATGCGAGGTCGCGAGGTGTAGTTTTATGGTGCGTTTTTGCTATGTCGTCCCGTCTTCGTAATCTGAATGGTGCCCAAAGGCGTTCCCAACGTCGACAACTGTATCAAGGTGCCAAGTCCAACCTCATTCTCTTCACTCCTCCTGGACTCCAAGCCACAGCTCGCGAACGGCTGGTTGGACCGCAAGCACGGCGGTGGAGAAGACCGGACTTGGCACAACCGCGAAAGCGACACGGCCAGCGGCACGACCGCGAGCTCCGACGTGTCCGCCATTCTCCAGTATCCGTCATTGCTGCGCCCGGCTGCTGGCGCTCAAGGACACAAGCCATATTTTTTTGCGCATGACGTGCCCGTGGTAACTGCGGCAGTCACATTCGCCCGGGAGGTTGCAAGACATTTGATCAGTCGAGTGGACGGGCTACCGCTACCATTCGCCTCCGGGAGCAGAGCCTTTGAGCTGTACCGTCAGCTCGCGTACGTTTGCGGGCAGTCTGCAAGACGCCTGGGATGTGGCTGTGCAGATCCTCGACGACGCGCGGCCAGCGAGAACAAGGGCGCACATTCAGGTGCGTGCGTCGCTATCGTGTTTCTCACCGGGCTGTGCTGATTTGCTTAGCAGACGCTCCAAGTCGCAATCACCACTGGTTGCACGTCCACGTACGACTGGTCCGTTTCGCTGCTACTCCTCTTCGCACCCGTTTATCATGTGCGCTCGTCTTTCCTCTTCTGTCGTCTCTCAGACGTCATCTGGCCGGGAGGCTCCGAGCAAGACTACACTGGGCACTGCAAGCACGATGCATTGCCGCTGGTGCTTTTCGCAGGAAGATGGCGACGGAGCAGATCCACAGCAAGATGGCCGACGATTTGAGGCTGTACCACCAAATCAAGCAGTCAGCAGGGCGCGAGCTGATTCGCGCCACAGTGTGTGGTTGACCTGCCCTCTGCCCCAATCCACCCTGACGCTCTCAACTCAGTTTCCTTTGACGCGGTCACTTGAACGCCGCGCTCGCCGTTTCCGGTGGCGTGGACTCATCTTCGCTCTTCCCATGCGAGTGTCGACGTACAGAAGATCACAATTTCAGCAGAACCAAACTTGGTTCAGATGCCAATAGGTCGTCATCGACGCGTTTTGTCTCTCTCGCTCTTGGTGTTAGCACTCTATGGAGCTTCCAAGGGAGTATACTGTTCTCTGAAGAGCTTCGTTGCGCTTGGGTCAAGTCCGCGAACCGTGGACGACTCAAAAGGTCCAAGGAAATTGCTCATCTGATTGCTTCTATCTGCGCTGGATCTTCTCTTCCTTGAGCGTATCGGATGGCTGGGTGTACGACCTGGGGCGAACTTGACCGGCACGAAGTACGCCAAGCCTCCGTTTCACCGACCCTCGCTGCCCAGACGCCTCCACTCTACTGCGCAGC